TTCATACCAGATTTGATATGTATTGATATTTTCAGTTTTTTATATAAATAGTTTCACATAAAATTGTTATATAAAAAAGAAAGGTTTGATTTACTGAATTAGAATATAAAAAGTTCGAATTTCCAGGATTAAACCTGAAATACCAACTCCATCATATATACTTTTGGATATTAATCATTTTGATACCATATGCGACACACATAATGCATTACTCTTCACGTAATATTAATATAGTTTAAGTTTAGTAATAACCAAATCAAGTACTGCGACAGAAATAGTAAGACATCTCATGAGAAAATTCTATTCTTGTATTAGCGTACAATATAATCCAATCAACTTTAAGATTTTGCTTTCGGTTTATTTGCCATTAAAACCATACACTTACGTTCCTGGTACAGGAGGAACTGTCGATGTTACACAACTGATCCTTCACCTGGTCGTATAAAAAAATTATTTTGCAATACCAGATCATTCCGCTAGTACATGTTATGATTATAATCCCACACCATTTTATTATAATAAAAATGGTGAGAGATTATAATCATAACATGTACTAGCGGAATGATTTGGTATTGGAAAAGATTTTTTTTATATGTTGCATACCGGATCAGTCGTGTAACATCAACGGTTCCTCCTGTTCTTAACTCCTATTAAATCTATTTGTGAATCAGGAATCTATTATTCCAAAGTATTATAAATATAGCTTGACATTTTAGATTGTACTGCTTTTATTGCAATATTCTCATTAATATGATCAATATGATCGATATTTCAATATTGGAGAATATTTGTGGTAGCGATCCTTGGGTAGTAAACTTTCTTTTTAATAAGATCACAAAATGCACTTAAAATTTATCTTCCTGTTTGTTGTGCCATATATGTATTTTTAGGGACCGTGGCAAAATAATGATTTTACGGATTGCTTTAGAGAAGTGTAAATAATTTATAATGATTTATAATGACGTTTTTTTATTTTAGTATATTTGACTTTTTATCCTAACGAAAATTAGTGTGGTCGATGCTGGAGTTTTATCACTATATTCAATTGTTTCCCTATGTATTTTCATAACTGCTTATCTTAAATTGAGGCGACATAATGGATCAGACCATGAACGTTTATTTAACAGTCAATTTAATTCAAATTACGGCTCTATTGAACGATCCGGACTGATCAATGACAACGAGACATATTTGGATATTTCTGATGATAATTCTGACTATTTTGATGATGTCAGTAATCAAACTTCTAAAAATATGCTCTTCGATGGTACCCGGCTTGTTATAAGTATTGTGATAAGTTTGCTATTCAGTTGCCTTATCATAATAAGATGGAATGATTATCATGAGAACAAACACGGAAATTATTGGCTTGTAATTCCTATATTGGAAGCCATCATATGGGTGCGTGTTTATTATTCAAATTACCTATATTTGATTGTAATTTATTAATAATTTAATATACATTATTTTAGGTCTATGCAATAATATTAGCGGTGTTTAACATCGTTTCACAGCAACGTAGTGTTCTTCATACCCGTGGACACTTAAATATTCTATACTTTCTTTCTTTAGTTTCTTCAATAATAGATATTCATTCACTTTATTTGAAGCTTGGTACAGATTTCAACTCAGAATATTATCTCAAGTTATGGATTCTTACTTTCTCATTTATCTTGGTTTGTTTTTCAATATTGGAACCACAAGATGATATTGAATTACTTTCAAAACCAAATGCTGAGGTATTTACGTTTTGACGCTCGATTTGTTTGCCCTCAAATGTTTGCTTGACGAAATCTAACTTCATATCCATTAGGGCCGTTACGTTTCCCCTGAGGTGAAATGCTCTTTATACGATAAAATCACATATTCGTGGGTTAATCCGTTAATCAGCAGGGGCTTTCGATCTACCCTTGAGGACAAAGATATTTTTGAGTTACCTAGTTTTGCCAGAGCCAAAAATATATTGAAAACCTTTCATTCTTCTAAAAAGCCTTCTATCATCAAGTCTTTATTATTTGCATTTCGAAAAGAGCTTTTTATTCAATTTATTTATTCAATAGTTTGGACTTTGATTCATTCTTTTGTTCCGCCTTATTTTCTCCAAAAATTGTTATTATACGTTCAAAACTATTCAAATCAGTCACATGTGACGGCTTATTCATATGCATTTGGATTATTTTTGGGATTAGTGGTGCCAAGTTTGTGTATGCAACAATCATTATATATTGGCCGTCACTTGAGCGTAAAGTGTGAGGTACATAAAAATATTGGCTAAGGCGCTTTAAGTTTTTCTATCACCAACAATTTTGCAACAATTTTCCTGGTGATTATTATAGGCAATAATCATTGGTGAAGTATACCTGAAGTCCCTATCCCGAAAAGATACATCAGGCGTTGTTGAAAATGATGAATCTAAAAATAAAATTGGAAAGATAACTAATCTTATGGCCGTTGACGCTAAAGAAGTCTCGGAATTTTTTGCCTACATTTTTCAGTGTGAGTTCTAATAAATCCCACTCTGGTTTGCAACGTAAAATTATTCTACATAACATTTCGTATTTTTAAGTATATTCCTATCCTATACAGATCATCATTTCCATAGCGTTGTTGTACGCCTTGCTTGGTATATCAGCCTTTGCAGGTGTATTGGTCATAATTATATAATATCCAGTGCCATCCTTTATTCAACGGGTATATTATTATTTAAATAATCCTAATTTAATTTATTTATTTATTAATTAGATATTGATTCATAAATTATAATTTTAGAGATTTAAAACTATTCAAAGCCGTCTTATGACCGCAACTGATAAGCGAATGGGTGTAATTAACGAGGTTATAGACTTTTCGAGTTTGAAAATTTTTTGCTCTCATCACGAAATTAAGCTTAATTATTTTTATTAATAGTTGCTACAAGCCATTCATATCATTAAATTTTTTGCATGGGAAGACCACTTTCGCGCAAAGGTTATGAACGCTCGTGATAACGAGTTAAAAGAAATCAAAAATCGGTTAATGGAATGGGTTTATATGAATAGTCTTTGGACGACTTTACCTCTTATAATCATGATTACTGTGTTTATTACATATACAAAATTTCTAGGCAACGTAATTATCGATTTTCATATTATTAATCGTCTTATCAAATTGTATTAATACTTAATAAATTTTTGTTAAAAGGATTTGTCTGCTCCTGTTGCATTTACCGCCCTTGCACTATTTAATAATCTTAGCAATGCCTTTAACATGATGCCATTTGTAGTTACTTACCTTATTCAGGGTATGTTCTAATTAGTTGTCTTGTATTAGATCTTAAAACTTAATGAATATACATATAACGCTTACAATTTATGCAGCTTGTGTTTCAATTTCTCGTATTGAAAAGTTTTTAAACGAACCAGAACTTAATCACAAAAATTCTATCCAAAGTATTAATGATCCCTATATTGGATTTAAAAACGCAACTTTACGGTGGCTAGATGGCGAAGATTCCATAGATAATTCTTCCGTTTCTGTAAACTTAAGCACACAAAATCCATCGAATAAATTCACTTTAATAAATTTAAATGTATCTTTTCCTATTAACGAATTGTCAATAATCTGCGGTCCTACGGGTAGTGGGAAAACAAGCTTATTGATGGCATGATTAGGGGAAATGGAATGTCTAGACGGGCATGTGTTCTTGCCTAGGACGAATATAGAATCTTGGAATGAATTGGGTGGTGCGCCGAGTGGTATTGCTTATGTTTCTCAAACAGGTAATTTCATTTCCTTATATGTTTGTAATAATATATATTTTGATATGTATATATATACATTCTTTGCTGACAAAGAAATAAACCTTATTAGCGTGGCTCCAGAATGCTTCTATTAGAGATAATATTCTATTTGGACTTCCATTTAGTTACGAAATTTATTCAGAGGTTATACGTGTTTGCGCCCTCGATAAAGATTTGGAGATTCTTGAAGCTGGGGATAAAACAGAAATTGGCGAAAAAGGAATAACGCTTAGTGGTGGTCAAAAACAACGTAAGAATTAACTAGAATAGTTTGAAATCTTCTAATAAATTGTGTGGGTTTGATTTTATTTACGCTATTTTTATTGTACTTTTTATTAAAAGCGTCGCTTTGGCCAGAGCCATTTACTCCCAAGCTAAAATAATAATTTTAGACGATTGCCTATCTGGTAAATTTATAATATATAGTAAACATATTGTACATTGTGAACTTACATTTTTTCGTACTACACAGCTGTTGATTCGCACACCGCTAAACATATATTTGAACAATGTTTGATGGGCGATTTGATGAAAAACCGTACCCGTATTCTTGTTACACATCACGTAGGATTATGTCTTCGTGGTGCTGCTAAAGTTGTAATTATGAAAGATGGTCAAATATCGGCTGAAGGATCCGTAAAAGAAATTTTGGCTACAGGGCTGTTGGATGGCGTGACTTGCGAAGATGAAGAATTAAGGACCTCTGTTGAGGATGTTATGGATGCGAAATATCAAGGAAGCAATAAAAATATTCGTGAAGGCGATGGACGACTGACTTCTGAGGAAACAAGAGCTGTTGGTATGGTTGGATGGAAGTACTACAAACTCTATTTGGTAGCATCTGGCGGATTTTGGCAATGGTTGTTATTACTTCTTTTGTTTGTATTGGAAAAGATTATTAACGTCGGAGAAGGTTGATTTTTAACTTTACATTTAACTGAATAACACATCAATAAATATTACTAATAATAGTTTTTATGATTTTATTCAGATTGGTGGATTCGAGAATGGACCGATGCTTATAACAATATCTCTAATCAAATCTGGAGTTTCGCTTCTCTTTTGCTAGATAAATTGTGCCGCACTACAAACAATTTGGCATTATCAAACATATTAGAAGAGACCCTAGAACCCATTAACATTGACTATTATATTTGGATTTATGTATTAATTGGATTGACGCACGCCGCATTATCGTCTTTCAATGTATACTACATGTTAATTGGTTCTCTAATGGCTTCTAAGAAGTTACATAGTGATATGTTAGATAAGGTGCTATCAGCAACACTTAGATTTTATGACACAACACCAATAGGTAATATGCATATATTTAAATTATATTAGTTTCATGTAATTTACGCACTTAATAATATGTTAAACTTTTTAAGGAAGAATAATGAATCGATTCTCTAAAGATATTAAAACAGTTGACCAAATATTTTCTAATATTGCTCTGGGTTTTCTTCAATCATCCATTGCTACCGCATCGGTTATTATTGTCATTTCAATTGTAATGCCTCAATTCTTAATAGCTGGCGCTTTCATTGCAGCAATGCTTATAGTTATTGGAGCATATTATATAGCTACTTCAAGAGATTTAAAACGTAAAATACCTATATCATTTCAGTTATTTTGATTTCAACAATTTATTAACATATAATAATTTAGGCCTAGAATCTGTTAGTAGGTCTCCAATATATGCAGCATTTGGCGAGGTAAATATTTTACCGTTTTGGATTTAGATGTTAATGTATTATTTTTGCTTATTACCTACACTGGCGATCATAAATAATGCAGCAAAAAAAAAAAATCGTTAGATCATATTATCTCGCGCAATTCGGGACGGAT